TTATCTGCTAAAAAGTGATATAATCAGTTTTATATTTCTGAGTTTTCTTTCCAGTTGCTGCATAAAGCAAAAAAACTAAGTAATAAAATAACTGCAAAAGTTTTTGTCTTCTTCCTCACTCAATTATACACTTTTTCCTCTTAGGGTGGTTGACAAAGGAGAAAACTATGTTTATTTTTACACATATTACTGTATGATTTAAGAAAGGTATTCAAGAGGTGGTATGCTGTAGTGGAAAGAATAAGGAATTTGTACTCCAAGGTCACTGGTTTCAGTTTCCCATCTGACTCTTTTGAGACTTGAATTAAGTAACTTTTCTAGTCTCAATTTTTTCATCTGTAAAAACATGAAGACTAATAAAACCTACTCCTTGGACTGTCAGAGGAATTATATGGTTTTCACAAAATAATTAAAAAGATGCATGTCAGATTAGGAAGGTAAAATAAAATTAAAACCATTTTTTTAAAATGAGGCATACAAAAATAAAGTTAAGCAATGTAGGTGGAGTCAGCAATAGGAATAACTTATAAAATATATGTGATGGAGTCCTAAATACTTTCTACGTTTGTGCCACATACTGGAGTCTGAACTTTCTGGCTGTTCTCTCAAAGAGGGATACATAGCAAGTCAACAAACCAACAGTGTCCATCCATAGAGTTAAAAACAAATTGGTAGTTTTGTGATTCCTCAAAAAGTTAAACATAGAATTACTATATGATCTACAGTAACATACCCAAAAGAATTGAAAACAGGTATTCCGATAATTTGTACACCAATGTTTGTAAGAGCATTATCTACCTTAATCAAAAGGTGGAAACAACCAAAATGTCTATCAGTGAATGAATGGATAAACAAAATGTAGTGTATCCATGCAATGAAATATTATTCAGCCATAGAAAGAAATAAGTACTGACACATGCTACAACTTGGAGAACCTTGCAAACATTATGCTAAGTGAAAGGGAGTCAGATACAAAAGGTAACATATTGTTTGATTCCATTTATATGAAATATCCAAAATAGTTAAATCCATAGAGACAGAAAGTAGATTAGTGGTTGCCAGGGTCTGGAGAGAGGGATAAATAAGGAATGACTGCTTAATGGGTACAGGGTCTACTTTGAGAGTGATAAAATATGTTTTGGAACTAGAAAGAGGTGACTGTTGCACAGCATTGTAAATGTACTAAATACCACTGATTGTACACTTTAAAATGGTTAATTTTATGCTAAGTGAATTCACCACCATTAAAAAGAAAACAAAGCAAAACAAAACAAAAATAAATAAGTTGTTTGGAAAAGTGCAATTCTTTCTCATACAGAGACCAGAAAGGACATTCTTTACGGAAATGAACCCTCAGCAATATCTTTATTTGAACATATTGTTAAGTTTCATATCATTCTTTAGATGGTCCTTCAATGTAAGTTGATGTCATGACTATAAAGGGCAACATGGGAAACAGTATTTTACTGGGAACTATGGTGAGTGTGGTGTTAGCAACGTGGCCCAAGCTACACTGGTCTCTAATGAGCAGGTGTAAGGCAGAGATAAAATGAAAAACACTCTAGAGGGAAGGACTGGCGATCCTTCTGGAATCCACCATAAATGTTTCCCTGAGTCAAATTTTTGGAAGCAGGAGTGAGTTTGAGATTGCATTCCCTGACAATTTGTGGTTGCAGATTGCCCATTTAGAGCCTCATACTTTCAAAGTTAGCCAATCTGGAAGCAGGAGTAAGATCCATTGGTAAATGAGGAGAATGTTGGAAGTGAGTAGTGACAATGCTGAGACATGCCTTCGAAGGTTCTCCTTAGTGTCAGGTCTGCTCAAACATCCAAACAAAGGGTGCTTATAGTTCTGTGCAATAAATCATACCTTCAGCATCTTCAGAGGTAAGATTTCTTGTAGACTAAATGAAGCCATGTATATGAAAGCTTGTATATAAAGTGTCAAGTTCATATCAATTGTTTCCATTGTTGTTAGTATCTGGGTATAATACATAACATGTAAACAACATATTTGAATAGGATTTTCACAAACAGTATTCATTCATCATTCTCAACAAATACTTATTGAATACTAATTGTGTGCCATTTAGAAAAGAATAAATTGAGGTTCACAGATTTTTCACATAACTTGGAGACTCAAGACCTTTGATTTCTAGTTCATTACAAATCTTGCTGCCCCCAAGGGCTAAAATGACCAAGAACTATAGTTGCCAAAGCCCTTCATCTCCATTAACTATTTTTCTTTAAATATGTTTTTATTGATTTCAGAGAGAGGAAGGGCAAGGGAGAGAAACATCAATGATTAGAGTCATTGATCAGCTGCCTCCTGCACGCCCCCTACTGAGGATGGCCCCCAGTCAGGGCAGAACCTGACCTCCTGGTTCATGGGTCAATGCTCAACCACTGAGTCATACCAGCTGAGCTCCATTAACTATTGATTACTTAAATCCTTGGGCAAAGTTTCACCATTTATATTTCTCTCTGTACAGTGGTATTTTCTTTAATTGCTGTTACATGGAGTTCTCAGCAACCACGCTACCAAACACAATGCTTGGGTTTACATTATTAGCTAACATTTATTGAGTGCACATTGTTAGGAGTGGTGCTAAGCATTATGCAGACATACTCTTATTTAATCCTTAAAATAACCTTCTGAGGAAGGTTTATCATTCCTTTTGTTCATACAGAAACTAAGACTCAGAAAAATTAATAACTTGCCCAAAGCTATCGCTAGAAATATAAAATGGTCTTACAATCCTTATAGACAGGTATTTTAAGGTTCATGAAAATCAGAAGGTGAACCAAGGGACTTCTATGATTTCTACCTAAAGAGCCAGTAGGGTTTGGAACAAATGTTGAACTAAGAATAAAAGTAAGAGACAGGGCTGGGTCCATATCTAGTATTGTTTAACACCAAAGCTCACAGCTTAACCACCCTGCTATACTGAGACACAGGTCTGGTAAGTTTGTTATAATTTGAATCCCCACCCAGACAATTATGGTAATAAATCCTGGATCATTATCATCATAGGGGCTAAAATTTACTATGTTGAATACCTTAGAAGTGCTTAATAGTCATAGATTCGGAACATTTGTAAATTTTAAAGTCTCCTGATAAAGAACAAGTAGGTGCCCCTCCACATAAAAGTGCGCTGTGTGTGTGTGTGTTTTTTAAGGAGATGGCAAGCTTTTGCTGTTGGATTCAGGATATTGAAAAGCTAGTATTTAAATTTTTAAACTAACATTTTCCTGTATAGATGTGTATAACTGGCTCCAAAATTACTACAGCGTGCCAGATATTGTACCAGGTGCTGCTGTGTAGCTACCAGGGTTTAAGTACTCAAGAAGTGTTAGCTGTCAGGGTTTGAGGAAAAGGGAAGCAAACTTTACCAAACTGGGCAAACTTCACCTCTCTGGGATTCACTTCTTACTTTGTAAACGAGGGGGGTTGGATATCTAGGTCTTGTTTCTGGTTTTTGTAGTTGTTTTGTTTTTGTGTGTGTGTGTGTGGTTTCTCCTCGTCACCTGCCACTATTCCCATGCCAAAATATTCATCTCATGCTATCCTAGCTTTGCATTTCATCAATGATTTCAACAGATGTTTATTGAACTTCTAGGCACCGTAGGGCTGAAGGTGAGAATAATAAAAGCAAGGGCCCTCTGCTTGTGGAGCTTACAGTCCGAAGGGCTAAGACAATAAAAAATGAAATAAGTAATATAATTTTAAAAACAAATGCATAAAAGCAATCGTTGACAATAATTATGTAACTATAGGTTGAAAAGGTGCTAAGGAGGAAATAAGTAGGATAGCATTGTCTTTTTTTGTCATAGAATGAAGCAAATGATAGGCTCTCTCAATGACAAAGATGATGACCTATTGAGGTCACTAGATTTTAAAAAGGGAAAAACATGGTAATACCCTACCAAAAAACCCTAAGGAAAATAGCCCTTATTCTCCAAGAAAATTGTACTGTGACTGGTCCTCGCTGTATCTTCTCCCTAGAATGGAGGCGGAGAGGCTTCTCAAAAAGAGCAGCGAGAGATACTTTTTTCTTTCTTTTCCGTAAGCCGAGCGGAAAGACAAAATGAAAAGAGAGAACTCGGGAGTCAGGCGGGGAAATGACCAGTCTGGTGTGGCCATTTCTTGTTTAGTCTTGCCAGGCTTCCCGCGGCAGAGGGAACCTGGATAACAAGAATACTGACGTCGTGAACTTCAGGGGAGATTTTATTTCCTTTATTGCTGCCTAGTGGCAGGACCCCGGGGCGCGGCGGTCAAGGTGTGGTTTGCGGGACGCAGCTCCCGGGAAGGCGCGGGAAGGGCAGGCGCAGAGCTGCGGCCCGAGGCGAGGGG